TGTGAGTTGGGTTTCAAAAGACCAGGAGGAGCCGACCAAACACATATACTCCAGGAGAAAAAAAAATAAAAGAGAAAGAAAAGTTCCGTGGAGAATGAAAACCTGGAAACATATCGATGGCTTTGACTTGATTGGAAGTCTAGCTGTTCCTCCATAAATCACCTCTACAGAGGAGCTGGGAGAGGAGGGTTAGGAAGGTTGGATTTCCCCCCTTCTGGATAACTGGGGTAAATGCAGTGAAGAGAAATTGGAAGGCTGAGACTGTTGTCAAGGACATTAGTAAGAGACTTGGGAAAAATCCCCCTAATACATAATAGGATACACACAGGCTGTCTAACTTTTTTCTTTTTTTTTCCCCTCAAAGGAATCTCTATTAATGCTATAACAAGAAGTAGTAAAATAGGTGTCTTTTTCCCCCTTTACATCATACAGTAAGATTCACCTGAATAAAGTAATTTGCTGTGTTTCAAGGAATAAGAGTGTTCCCCGGGCCTGGCCCTCTCCCMTCTGAGGCTGCTTTCAGGGACAACTCTCATTGGCTAGTCAGGCTGAGAGCAGCAGAGCAGCAGAGAGAGATTTAGACTCAGGCAGATGCGGGTCAGAATCCAGGCTCCATCCTTGAGAGTCACAGTAGAATTTGCTCCACCCTCGAAATCACTGTTTCCTTGTCTAAAAATAGAATTGTAATACTTAGTTCAAGCAGCCATGCCATGGTTCAGATGAGTGTCCCCTARGGTCCAGCTGTTAAAGGTGCAGTGACCGAGATGGTGCTACTGGGAGGTGGTGGAACCTTTGGGGGGGCCTCATGGGAGTTCTTTAGGTCATTGGTAGTGTGACCTTAAAGGGGATTATGGGACCCCAGTCTCTTCTTCTTTTTCCCTCCTCCCCCCTCTCCTCCTCCCCCTTCCCTCCTTCTCCCTCCTCCTTTCCTTCCCCTCTTTGATTTGCCTTCACTTTGGCTCCTCCTCTGTCTGCCTCTGTCTCCATGCCTCTGTCTCAGGATGACCTCCCTTCCCTCCTTCTCCCTCCTCCTTTCCTTCCCCTCTTTGATTTGCCTTCACTTTGGCTCCTCCTCTGTCTGCCTCTGTCTCCATGCCTCTGTCTCAGGATGACCTCTCTGGCTTGTGAGGTTGCAGGAGCCTGGCTCATTATCGCCTACGTAATTGAAACGGATCTACCAGAAAGTCTGGAGCTGAACTCAGGCCTGGCGCAAGGTGGGCCCTCGGAGACGTTCCACAGAAATTCTGAGAAATCCCACGCCCGTGACAGGTGGGGGGAAGACACTTAATGAAAACTCATGTGCAGCCTTGCTCTTTGGTCTCCAGTTGGAAAAGAGACCCTGTGAAAGTGGAATTAAAATCCACTCGAGTCGGGATGAATGTGGACTCATTATTCAGCGTCTGTGCCCTCTGGTTTCTCCTTGAGCCCTGGTCAGKACTGAGGAGGGAACCACCGGAGCTCTTGGAACTGCGTAGTGATGGTGGCTTGCTAATAAGATGACCCAGTTACCAGCCTTATTTTAAAGAGTGCAACTGTATAGGAGAGCTAAATCTTTGCCGTATTCCTTAAGGAAGTATAACCTACATAAAGTGCGCCGGCCACAGCGGCCAGACAGGTAGTAGATGACCACAGGTGACTATAAACAGCTGGATCTCTCTTCTCTGCATCTCAGCCCCTGTTAAAATCTTGTCTCTTCTCAGAATTTCTGATCCTCTCCATCTCTGTCTCTGATTCTCTCTTGGTCTCTTTCTCTCTTTCATGCAAACATCCAAACTGTCCCGAGCTTGTGTCTGGTTAGAGGAGTAACAAGAGTCACCCTGGGGAGGTGGGCATAACTGGCCTTGGCCAGTGCTTCTTCAGCCTCCAGGAGGCTGGGGAGGGACCCCTAGAGGTTGCCCTTCTCCGGCTGAACCCCGGATCGGCCATTTGGATGCTCTCTTGGGCATGGTGGGGAGTCTGGCTGTCCTTTCCTCGGTTTCTCTATTGCATTTCTTTTCTGTTGAGGAGCCTTTATAGCATCTCATCCAGTTCAAGGAATTCCTGATGCAGAAACCTCTACYGGGTCCAGCCCTGGGGGACACCCACAGGGAGCTTCAAAGGATGTCCATCCACAAGACACTAATTTWAAAAAGTCACTAAGTAAACATGAGAAAGATCCATAGAATAGAGGGAAGGGAACCGGGGAGGGAGGAGGAGAGGGAAAGGGAAAGTGCTGGGAATTAGAGCAGATTATATTCTATGCTTTTATAATAATGTCAAAACAAATCCTAAGGTTATGTATAACTAAATGATCCAATAAAAAAATCATGGGAGGTATTATTATTTTTCTCCTGCTCAATAGAAGAAAAAAGAGGAATTTAAGACCCCATCTCTGCCCTTACTTTCATTTAAATTTAATTATTTATTTTTAACTGACAGACACTGATTGCTAATGTTTAGGGTGCTGAGATAGTTCAGTGCATGGATGCATTGTGCATCTCAAACACATATCATTTCTTGGTGATGAGAACATTTAAAGTCCTCTCTTCTAACTCTTCTGAACGACACAGTACAGTACTGTTAACTATGAGCCTTCCATGCAATGGGACACCAGAAGTGTCCCCCCTGCCTAGCTGCATCTTTATACCCACTAACCAATCTCCCTGTCCCTTCCCCCAGCTCCCCAACCTCTGGTAAACCCCCTTCTAGAATTCGATGGGCTTAGCTTTCTTAGATTCCACATATAAGTGAAATCACACATGCTTTGTCTTTCTATGCCTGGCTTATTTCACCTAAATTTATGATCTCCAACTCCACCCATGTTTCCACAAACGACGGGGACGTCATTTTTATCGCTGAATAGTCATCTGCTGTATCTGGGTACCATTTTCTTTCTCCATTCATCTGCTCTCTTGGTTAYTGTGAACAGTGGTGAAATGAACACACAGGTACAGATGACTTTTTGACAAACTGATTTCACACTTTCTGAGTGTATACCCAGGMGTCCATCCCTGTCTTTAAAGAGTTTACTACAAATGACGTAAATAAGAGGAATTCTCTAAATCATCAACAAATGCAACCACKGACGTTATGAATGCTACACGGATATAMTTCTCTACCAGAAATGTATGATGCAGGCAGGCAGGAATTACTCCAGAGACTCAGGAGGGAGGGGACAGTCCGAGACAGGTGGGTCCTGGGATGAAACTTAACGAGTTGAGAGCTTTCCAAGGGGGAATAGGAAGTGTGTACCCTCCAGGCTGGGAGGAGGGTATTCTTGGAAGTCCAAGAACCTATCATTTTGCTGCAGCACACAAGCTTCTAATGAAAAAGAAATCCTTCGTTGAATTAAGTTTTCTGGCTGTATTGGGGGCTCCGGCACTACTCACTTTTGAGGCAATAGAGTTGTAAAGAGTTTGCAGTGACGRGGGAGGCCCATCTGGGCAAGTTTATGATGARTGTGCTCCCTTATGAAATCAGTCTGTAGCAGTTGCTTGATTAGTGAATCTTCTCACCATGGTGTAGTAGAGTTTGGGGCTCATGTTTCCTGCTTAGGTAAAACAGGAGGTGTGCTATCTGCATTCTCCATACAACAGATCGTTATCCTTCCCAACAGTCCATTCCATCATGCCAGACTCAGATGCAAGCCCTGAAAATCTATCTGTTATCAATGATCAGAATCTCATTAACATAATCAAATGCAATTAAGATGCCACTGGTTTCCAAGAACAGTTTAAAAGCAGCTCAAAACTTTAAATAAGTCTCTGCAAATGTGGGAGCCCAAGAGAGACTTGAATGATCTCCACCCCTCTGTATTTGTTCACTGAATACACCAGCAGGGGAGGATCCAGAAGGGAGAGGCTGATAGTCCATGCTGTCCTGCTAATTTAGAGTTGATCAGAATCTCACACTTTGAATTGTGAAACCAAATATCCTTTAAAAAGATAAA